AAAAGTTTTATGATATCTAAGTATTTTTTTTATGCATTTTTATGATTTTTAAGGTTTTTTTGTTTTCCAAATAACCTTTCCCTATATATATATATATATATATATATATATATATATATATATATATATATATATATATATATATATATATATATATATATATATATATATATATGCAACACCCATAAAAATCATACCAAATTTAGATTATTCCAAAACACTTAAAACCAATCAACATTACATAATTGTTTTCAAAATAATAGATATCAGAGTGTCCCAGTATCAAATCATGAAATCATAAAAGTAGGAGGAATGGTATGATCATGTCTTCACCTTCCCATGATCACCAGAAGTACTTGAAACAACAACCTGAAACTGTAAGCCCGAAAGCTTAGTGAGCTACCCCCAAAATACCCATACCCATGATAATATACATATAATCATAAACAACATACTATGGGTCCAGTCAACCATCGGGATGGAATACCTCAGACCTATAACCAACAGGTTGGAATGCCCATATACTATGAGTCCAATCATCCTCAGGATGGAATACTCACAACCCACAACCAACATGTTGGATTACCCAGGTCTATTGGCTTCCGCACAAAGCAAATAAGCCTCAACCGCCAAACAAACATGCGCACATATATAACAGATAATCACATAACAGTCTATAGACAATAATTTATCAAAACAGCCATACCACATAACCCATAATACCATCCTGTCTATCAGGATACCAGTCTAACAGATCATACTAGCATGTCGCATAATACCGCCCTATAACCATGACATTGACCTAACCAGGTCACTAAGCATAACATAAACTCATCTTAACTACCAGGATGCAAACCAATAAACATATCATGCCATAACCAGACACAACCCATAAAGAGTCGGCCTTGGTGCCTTAGACCCTTTTGATATAGTGAGGATAACTCACCTCACAAGTAGTGCTGAAATACTGTAAATCTCTGACTGCTGTCTTACCAGGAATCCCAAACTATTACACAATAAACACCAAAATTAATACCCAAAATAACCTTCTTGACTAAATGTACACACCATTCATTACGTCCATATAAAAGCCCATTATCAGCCTAATTTACCAAATTGGGCCCAACCTCCTAATTGGGCCTAACCCTATGATTCACTATCACTACCTCGCCCAAAATATTTTATTTACAAAGTCCAAGAAAGGCCCAAATTCCATTTAGTCCATAAACAGCCCAAAACCCGAAGCCTATTTGTCAAAAGCCCAATAGAGGATGTACGCGGGGCGTAATCATCCAATCGTTGACCACCATCGGGGTGGTTTACCCGGTACGCTGGATGTACTGGACAATTTGTCAAAACCTCATTAAGCGCTTAATGGCTTAAGCACTTAAGCCCAAACTCCAGATCAAGATACCTATCATGCCTAGGATCCATAAAGTCGTGAACTTTATCACTTTGGACGTCCATAAAGTTCTTAATGATTGCTCTTAATCCATTAAGACCTTATTTTCCATGCATGGGACACATTCAGCTAATGGGACGTCATTTTTATCATTCAAGGTCCCTTCATGAGTCTAGAAGGACAGTCATTTTCGTCCAAAGCACAACATGCACCACCTTGTGGTTTTTGGGACAAGTAATGAGTCTTTTAAAGCAAAATGGAGAGATCTAATCATATAAGCATAAAGTTTGGAACTTTATAACTTCTGGAGCTTCTTGAGCACGAGCTAACTTCAGATCTACAAGCTTGGTCTCTTCCTTCAACTATTTGATGCAATGATTTCCTCTTAAAGCACTCAAGAACATACAAATGAGCTTAAACACACAAAAGGGAAGGCTAGGGTTTGGGAAAGACGAGTTTGATCTGTAGAGGTTGAGATAAGAGGGGTATTGGTGATCATTATGTTGATTATATATACCCCAAACCCTAAATATTAGGGTTTAACGCAGACATTAGTACGCCCAGCTTACACAGGTGTACGCCCAACGTATTAAGGCGGGCCTTAATACGCTTAGCGTACTGCCTTTTTGGCCCAAGTTTGCAAACTTGGTCCTTAAACTTATCTTGGCTCTTCACTTCCAACCACAATGACTATAAATGACAAGGAACATATAGAAGAGGTTCGGAAATACCTGCCAAATCTCAGGAAGTTACAATATATATATATATATATATATATATATATATATATATATATATATATATATATATATATATATATAGAGTCAATTAATTGGCTACTAAATATTCATTTTTCTAGTTAATTATTAGAACAAAGGCCTTCTAGCCTAGTGATATTAGGTGTTGCTCTCTCACATTGAGGTCAAAGGTTGAAGTTTCATTAGCGACATATGTGTATTTAAGAGTAGTTTATGAGTAAGGGACGTATATGTATTTAGGAGTAGAGTAGCGTTCAAAAAATATGTTTGGAATTGATCTTTTTGAATTAAATTTTTATTCGTTTGAATGTTGTAATTAATACGTAACATAACAACTTCGTATGTAATTACTTTGTTTGACAAATTGATTTTGCTTACAAAAATGAAGATATGATATCAAGTTTTATAAGTTTGAAATGGTTTCTTGGACACTACAATTTAAAGTATAACAATTTACACAAACCAAAGGTACACTCTTATTGCAAATTTCATGTTTATTGGGAATTATGATTTAGGAATTGGTCATTTAAATTTAGTATCACGTAATATAAAGTTTCAGAACACAAAAATAAATAAATTAAGGATATCATAGGCATTTTGCACACATCAATATAATTTCCAAAAAACGACATCGTCAAGGATTTTTGAAGTTGATTTGGAAAATATGCTACACGCACCGACGCTATAACATAAACCTAAGAGAAGACCCTTAAGTTTTTGCCATCTATAAATACCAGATAGCGGTGTTTGAGATTCATTCTTAAACTAACGTCTCGCCGAACACAAGTGCAAAATACCCACATTGCGAATGGCCCAAGGTATAATTTTTTTTCTCCCCTGCATTATCGTTCTGTAGTTATTTCGATCTTTATAAATAATGTTTAATTATATTAAAATATATGTGCCCGATTTCAAACGCATTTAAAATTGCTTAATTTGTTTTGATCTAGTCACTATTGTTCGTTTTAAGTGTTTGATCCATTATTAGATCTACTTGTTACTAATGATTATTGTTATTGTTGCTTCCTTACTAGGAATTTAACTTTAGTGTTTGATATCAACATAGATATAAATCAACGGTGCATTTCTAAGGAATTTTTTCGCGATCTAACGGGAAAATGAAACATACGGAATTAGCATTGTGTTAGTTAATTTTAAGGGAAAATGATTTAGGAGCCCAACAAAGTTTCCAAACCATTCAAAAAAACCTCAATTATGTTTTGTATGTTCAAGAAAACCCAACAAACTTAACATTTTGTCTAAAAAACCCAATAAAGTTACATTTTTGTTCAATTCTATGGAAGTCAAAGAAGAGAAAAAGATGACGTGGCTTATTACTATATCATGAAAATGATTTGCAAGACCAATAAAGTTTCCAAACCGTTCAAAAAACCTAAATCATGTTTTGTCTCTTCAAAAAAACTCAAAAAACTTAACTTTTTGAACATACAAAACATGATTGGGGTTTTTTAAACGTTTTGGAAACTCCGTTGGATTTTTTAGATAAAATGTTAAGTTCATTGGGTTTTTTTGAACAAACAAAACATGATTGATGTTTTTTGAACGGTTTGAAAACTCTGTTGGGTTTGTAAGTCATTTTCCCTAATTTTAATTAACATCAAGGTCATATCTTTCAAAATTTTGAAAAGGTTTATCTATAGAATCAAAATGAGCTTTGAATTATGCTATATGTCAAAAGAATCCTTTACACATTAGTAAGAAAATCTTATATAGATGGTGACCCTTGCTGCAGTTCATGATGTGGATTTTTCTATAACGACTAGAAATAGTTTTCTTAATTTGGGATCGGGCAAACATCAAAACCGTAAGCTCACTTTCGTCTTCGAGATTTCTATCTATGTTTTTTTATTAATCCATGGTTAAAAAAAAGATTTTATCATCATTAATTCTCTCTTCAATTAAAATGAAAGGTATAAAAGTCACAGAACACATATTTTTTAAGTGGATAAAGAAAAAACATGAATAGAAATATCAACCTTTTGGTTTTTCAAATATCTCTCTTAAAATTAACTTAATCAATAATTGATACCCTTGGAATGTTACTTAATATCGTTAGAAGAGTTTACATGCTACTACATATGTAATCTACATAAATTAATCTATCGTATTGCCTTGAATTGGTAATTATGTTAGATTGCAGTTGGAATCGTTTTTTCCCATTAGTTGTGATTGTTAGATATTTTATCACGTATCTTTTTCTGAATTCAGTTGAAGTTGTATGTCTTTTTTCTTTTATAAAAAATGAAAATGAAAATGAATGAAAGTGATTTATGTTTGATTGAAAAGCCAAGTAGTCGGCTACTTCTTGTTTTGGGTTCATGCCCACCTTTTCAACTACTGAAAAATGTTATAAAAACGATGGTAATTATTAAAATACAGTAACTGCTACTTACAAGTTACAAGTATCATCATATTTGATAAGCCTTTTCAATTTGTAACAGAACTAAATTTGGTAGTTGTTCCCGACACTATATTTTCACATGAAGAATTAAGGGAGTTTGTTGGTTCAATTAGAAGTCGAGCACCACATTACATTGAAATAACATGTGGTTGCACAAGCAAGCAATTTGGAGACACCACTGGCATACTAAGAATATGTGATGATGGCACCATTCATGCCAATTGTTTTTGTTGCAAACAAGGCACGTTCAATTAAACTTTCTTTACACACACACACACACACACATATATATATATATATATATATATATATATATATATATATATATATATATATATATATATCCACTGTATGTTTTTATATAATGTGAAATGAATTTAATTATGATACTTTTTTTTTTACAGTGTTTAATTCACCTATGGAGTTTGCAAAACATGGCTCCAGACTTTCCAACGTGTCAAATTGGAAAACAAAAATTTGGATTGCTAATTGTGATGGCCAAAAAATAAAAATAGCCAAAACTTGTCTCCTGAAATACTACAAAGGAGATGTGTACAAAAGACCACACAATGAAAATGTCCACCGTGACCAATTTTTGACTTGTAGCATCTGCAACAAGGTGCGACGATTTGAACTTCGGTCACGTGAAACATGCAGGTTCTATCATGATGCTGTTGCAAGAGAAAATCCAACTTGTAGTGACATGATACCTGGGAGGTAAGTCATCACAACCTACGTATCTTAAATATATATCTAATTACTTTCCTAGGTTCCATAATCACACGACACATGCATTTTTTTTTTAATATATGTATTTCACTAGTTTGTCTATTGTTTACAGGTTGTTAGTATTTACTAAAATTCTTATACCATATACATTTATTTCATATCATATAAGGAAGACCATGTTAGAATCTAGAGTTAGATATACATAATCTTATGGAATTCTGTAAGAGTGAATAGATGGAAACATCATTTGTAATGTTTATAACTTGATATCTTTATATGTTCATAACATTGTTTGATCCAGATGGACGTGTGAGGACCTGGAAGAGAGGGTAAGCTCTAGGATCCGAACTGGATGCCGCAAAAACATAAGATGCAAAGGGTGCCTTCGTTGTGTTTGTTTTGGATGCAACATGTGTAGGTTTGAAGATTGTGGATGTCGAACATGCATTGATTTTTATGAAAATGCAACTAATTAACTAGGTGCATGTTGTTTTAGTAGCTTTGTGTCTGTCTTTCTAAGATAATATTGAAAAAGCCAAAAGGGATGTTTATGTGGTTCACATGCTTGGGATTTTATGGTTCTATGGTTCACAATGCACTTGTTTGGGATTTTGAGATGTTTAATGTTTCTATGAAGTTATACTGGCATGTTAAGAAAATCTATAGTCATTTACTTTTTCTATATATAATCTATCATTTGTATAATATATGCATTTCATAACTTTAGTCATGTTTGCATGTACGAGATTGCTATACCATTCACAACACCATTTTTGTTCTCATATGTAACACGCTGTTGCTTTACTTTTTAAGTTATATTATACATATATTAACAGCATTTATAAAACAGTGTGTTCAAGTGAAGTATTAAAATTTGCCTTAGCTTTGCTTGGTAAGTGAACTTTCTATTTGACATGTAACCTGGGTTGGGTTCAATCCCTTGAAGATGTAAAAAATTATTATATTTTTGCTATTATTTTATAATCTGTATATTAATAAAATAGATAATAAAACGTATACATGCTCATCAAAATGCTTGACTTGATTGGCATGGGCTATAGATTTAGTTTACTTTTTTTTATATGCGTTTAATTTGAGTTTAGTTCTTAAATAATAATATTTTTTTATAATAAACCTTTGACTCTTATTTACGAGGTCCATGTTCATTTTTAACAAGAGTCTTAAAATAAAAAATAAAAATAAATATCCGATCCCTAATTTGTTTTTATCTTAGTCGGATAAAAGCCTAAAATGTCAAACCAGTATTTCATAGTATCCATATCGTATTTATCCGAATTCAGTTGAAAAGTGTTGGATCCGGTCTAACTGGATTCGAATAAGATAATATCATGATTTTAAAACTAGATATTCGGATTATAATTTTTTTTTATATATTCAATTTCAAAATTAAATTTAACTTCAACCAAGTACATTATTTTTCTTAGACAAAACTTCAAAAATGGTCCCTGTAGTTTTCGAAAATATCAAGTTTAGTCCCTAAGTTCAAAAAACCTCACAGATGATCTTTGTGGTTTCAAAACTTTTAACAAATGGTCCTTTTCGCTAACACCGTTAGTTTTTGACCGTTAAGTGAAGGGCATTTTTGTTTTTTCACTACCACAGGGACCATTTATGAAGTTTTGACTTATTTTTTAAAATATATATATATATATATATATATATATATATATATATAATATAAAGGGGGCCCACCCATCTCTCTCTCTCTCTCTCTCTCTCTCTCTCTCTCTCTCTCTCTCTCTCTCTCTCTCTCTCTCTCTCTCTCTCTCTCTCTCTCTCTCTCTCTCTCTCTCTCTCTCAAGTACAATAACCTCGTTTCTCTTCATAATTTCTCATAATTCTTAAGACGCGAAGTGATTTATCAGTAAAAAAAAATTGCATAGGCATTATATTGTTGTAGGAAATTATTTCAATAAATCAAAGTGGTTTTACAGTTCAAGAAAGTATGAATTCCAGTCGGTTTTCCGTCTCCATCTCCACAGCCACAGCCACCTGACCAGCACCAAATCCGCCTTGCTCCTCCGCTAGCGGTTGCTTTCTCTTTCCTCATAGCCCTAACCCTCTGGTTTTGCAAGTTTACAACACGAAAACGCACCGCCCCTTCCGACTCTAAACCTCCACACAAGTTTTCCTATACGGCTCTCAACCACGCTACCTCTTCCCTCTCCCCCTCAAACCGCCTCGGTCAAGGCGGTTTCGGTTCCGTTTACCGTGGAACCCTAATTAATAGCCAGGTCCAGGATGTTGCCGTTAAGGTCATGGACGCCGGTTCTCTCCAAGGCGAGCGCGAATTTCAGAACGAGCTCTTCTTTGCCGGAAAAATCGATTATGATCGTATCCTCGTCGTTGTTGGTTTTTCTTCCGATAGGAGACGACGGCGAATGGTGCTTGTTTACGAGCTCATGACTAATGGAAGCTTACAAGATTGCTTGTTTCATCGCAAGTCTCCGGAGCTAAAGGAGTGGAAAAAGCGGTTGTCGGTTGCAATTGATATCGCTAAAGGTATCGAGTATCTCCATCATTATTGTGATCCACCGATTATTCATGGTGATATAAAGCCTAGTAATATACTCTTAGATCATAATTTCAATGCAAAGATTGGGGATTTTGGTTTAGCTAGGTTAAAACCAGAAGACGAATGTCGAGTTGACTTGAATATTAAGATCGAGGAAGGGAAAAAGGTAGGTAATTCAATAATCGAGGATAACGGATCAGTCTTCGAGGAGACTGAGAGTCTGGCAACCACCACAGTCTGTGAAGAGCTTAGTATAGTTCCGGATCAGTCACCTGAAAGTTTTGTTACAGCTCCGATTGCTGAGACATCACCAGAGACGTTCATCCAATCGCCAAAAACAGGTCCGGCAAGTGATGTGAGTTTCTCAGAGGGAAATCTCGATGTCATAAGCCTGGAGAGCGGTGGTGCTACTTCGAAGAAAAGCAGGACAAGAAAGACGAGTATGTCAGGGAAGGATTGGTGGTGGAAACAAGACAACAGCATGTCTGAATCAGGACGTGTAAAGGATTACGTGATGGAATGGATTGGGAGTGAAATCAAAAAAGAGAGACCAAAAACCGAATGGATCACAACGGGAGCTGTGATCCAGTGCAACTCAAGTGCAACTCAAACAGGAAAATCAGAGAAGAAGAAGCCAAAGAAGAACAAAAAGCGACTCGATTGGTGGATGTCATTGGATGAAGACAAGAACGTGAAGAAACATAAAAGAAGACCAGCCAGGGAATGGTGGAAGGAGGAATACAGTGAAGAACTCGCAAAAAAGAAAAAGCCAAGGAATAGCGGATGATGAAGAAACGAGTTTTCTTTTGAAAGAGAGAGAGGACCCTTTAATATTAAATAATTATATATATATATATATATATATATATATATATATATATATATATATATATATATATATATATATATATATATTAAATAAGTCAAAACTTCATAAATGATCCCTGTAGTAGTGAAAAGACAGAAATGCCCTTCACTTAACGGCCAAAAACTAACGGTGTTAGCGAAAAGGACCATTTGTTAAAAGTTTTGAAACCACAGGGACCATCTGTGAGGTTTTTTGAGCTTAGGGACTAAACTTGATGTTTTCGAAAACCACAAGGACCATTTTTGAAGTTTTGTCTTTTTCTTATAACAAAAACAAAAAAATAAAGCACTTTAAGCATAAATTTTTTACTATAAAAATTAAAAAGATGCAAATAATATGTGAAACAAATAACAAAAGTTAGATTGAACACAAGTATTTATAATAGTTGAGTGCTACCAAGAACTTGCTCCACTTCAATGGAAGAACCCTTTTTTTTTTTTGCAGATTTTGCTAACTACTGCTTTCAAACACAACGGTAAAAGTTAATATATTTTAGAATGGAATCACACCACTGAAAAAGACATGAAGCAATAAGGGGAAATGATAATTTGAAGATTAGGCATTGGATTTTTTTCCTTTAAATTTCATAGAATTAAACTATCAAAGATGTATGAAATTAAAGAGAATCTAGAAAATTTTCATCAAATGTTTTAAGCTGGAATATGAAGCTGTAGCATATATAACCAAACTAAGGACGCCATGCCAAATCTGAATCATTCATCACAAGAAACCTTCGATTATGATATCTGAATAAAGATGCATTGTATATGCCACATATAAACATTCAAGTATTAATTAAAAATTGTCATTGCATATGCCACATATAAACATTCAAAGAAAAAAAAGTAAGAGTTTATAGATGCAACTTAAAACATCAACAAAAATGCAAAAGAATACAGAATCCAATCTACCGATACCTGTAAAGTGTAAACGCATATGTATTTTACAATCCCCTCTTTATAAGCGCGATCGAATGAAGATCTTCTTCACATCAGTTTTTGCAGGAGATGATTTTTCACTACCTTCTGCGGATTCATCTTTACGAGGATCCAAATCCTTGGCACATAAGATTGAATCTTCGTCATCCAGCCTTATAATATGCAAATCCTCTTCCATTTTCTCCATCCGAGCCTGCATCTCCTCCATCATTAATGTATGTGGTGCTTTATTGTTCAAATTCGCTGGTTCTACAGGAGCTTCATCCTTCAATCCTTCCTTCACTATCTTATACACTTGCATCCGACCTTCACATAACCAGAAACAGAATCATCAATTATGCAATCGAACAACTGAGTCGTTCGTAAGAACCCTATAAAGTACCCAAAATCGTTACAATGAAACTCATAAATCCCTAAAATCTAAAATTCGACCATTTAGATAGAATTGTTGAATAATCCCAAATGTAACTTCGTAAGAAAACATTAAAATTGGAAGTTGGAACACAGGCAGGGGTTTCTTACCCCTAATCCCCAAAAGCAATAATTTTAAACAAAAATTGAGTCAGGAGCTCAATCCTAGTTCAGTAGCATGATTCATGAAGGAGATCATATAACTAACCTTTGAGAGAATCGTTAACAGCAGAATCGACGGCGAACTTGCCGAAGCCGGTTAGAACTCGAGTTATGGTCTCCCTACGATCGGGGTCAGGCAGGGATTCCACAACCGGCTTGGTTAGGAAGCGATTACGGGAAGTTGTAGATGAATCGGATGAGGTGTTTGAAGTGCTCCGATTCATAAGTCTGACGGCGACCGATCTGATATCGTCCCAGATGCCCATGGAGTCGAGGTTGGTTGTTCCCGGTGGGGGTGGGGGATCTTCCTACTTCCTATCCGTAGTCAGTGGTTAAGATTATAAATAAGCGCAAATTGTTGCACTCAGCGGAAAACATACTTATATCACGGCCCTCGATTCCTTTGTGTAAGAGTAATGATTTATTTATGTAATATTTTAATACTTTAATTTTAATTTGCAATATATTATACTTATATAAATCATCAATATGCTCCAATTTTTAATTTCTTTTTAGTATTACTATTTTATTATTATTTTTATTTTTTAAACATAGTAATTTATAAAGCCAAACACCGTAGAATGGCCAAACAATTTATAGTGGGGAGAATTTTATATATGCCCTTCTTAAACATCAAAATATCATATTTACCCAACTTAATTTCTAAATATCATATTTACCCTTCATAAAATTTCTAAATATCATATTTACTATTCATAAAATTTCAAAATATCATATATGTCCTTTTTAAACATCATAATATCATATATGCCCTTCTTAAATATTAAAATATCGTATATGCACTTTTTAAACATCAAAATATCAATGGTAATATCTAAAATATCCTTCATCTACAACATAATCAACAAAAAAAACTAAACATTCAAAATATACATTCCATAGAGAGGGTTGAAGACGAATATTTTTGTTTGTCAAGAGGACGATATTCCAACAATTTAGAAGTTCACATTTCATTATCATAAAACTAATGATCGTTAAATTTTTTTAATTATTATAGTAATTTTAAGTTATAAAAAATTATTATAAAATATCAAAAACATTATAAAAAAAGATTTTGGCAAATATGATATTTTGAAGGTTTATGAAGGGTAAATATGGTATTAAGAAATTAAGCTGGGCAAATATGATATTTTGAGGTTTAAGAGGGGCATATATGAAATTCTCCCTATGATGGTGTTCGGATTGCTTATTTAATTTTTTTTTAATTTTTTTTAAAATTGCTTATTAGTTGTTAGCTAACTTAGCTTATGTGTTATAAAATGTTCAACTTATTTTATTGTGTAACAAGTTATACTAAGTTGATAAATACTTTTTTAGTGTTGGATAAATTTTGAATATATATATATATATATATATATATATATATATTTATTGTTGTTTTAAAAAAATTTAAAATTACGTTTTAGGGTTAAAAAATGGTAATTGGTTTTCATATATAAGTAATACCTTTAAATAAAAGGATAATGACTGGAGAGGGTCACATATTTTTGCCTTTGGTCACTAAATTTTTTTTCATGCTCTATTAACTCTTTAACTTGTTAAATCTGTGTAAATTTTTTCCTTGCGATTGCTTTTTACCGGTTTCAAAGGATTTATCGACTCTACGTGTTAGTTTGATCCTACATGGCATGTAGAGCTAATGTTATTAAAAAAGGGACATATGTGGATCCTTTATTGTGCCCTAATACCTTGATGGCTTCCTCTTACAACTTCTCATCGTCCCTCAATCAATCAATTAAGAAATTAATAGTGAACGATCCAAAATTTTGTGATTGTGGGTTCCCTGCACGTATTCTAACGTCAACAACACCAAAGAATCCAGGGAGGCATTTCATGGTATGCAATGAGGTAAACAATTTCACTTGAAGCTTCCCTCTTTTCTGATTCATTTTTTCTGATTTGAAATCTCCTTTTGAATTATTTTTGTTAAAGGGTAAATGCAAATATTGGAAATTGTAACACTCAAAAATTTTCAACTGAATTTTTCATTTTCCAAAATCACATAATTCCAATTATCACTTTTCAAAAATCCACAACTGATTAAACTATTACAAAACACAATCAATAATTGTCTGATAAAACCCCAAGATTCTCTAAAACATAAACTCCATCTCGTGTGTACAATCAAGCGCCTTCCCGTGATCCTAAGAAGTACCTCAAACACATATCACATAACACGATAAGCCCAAAGCTTAGTGAGTTCCCCAAAATACCACACACGTCTCATTAGCCTCTCAAGGTTATATCTCGATAAAGACCCTCCGGTCAATGTGCCTCAGTGGAGGCCCTCTGGTCCCACAACTCGGGTTGGACCCTTCGGTCCTAACTCAGTAAAGCTCGGAATAATACAGAGCATAAATCACAAAGACATAATGCAGGATATCACAATTCTCAATATAAGCATACAAAACCCTTCGGTCACACAATGTTACCACTCATGGTAAGTATAATGAGAAGACTCATCTCGTAAGTACGCAAGTAAACCTTGTACCCCTCGAACAATCTAATCCTCACCTACACGTCATAATCATCTCTAACTAACACTTATCACTTCAACCCAAATAATTTAAGCTAACCTCTTTCTCTAACCTTTAGAAAGGGTAAAAGACCATTTTACCACTCCATGATCTCCATAATCCATGCTTTGACCAAACCCTAAAAGTCAACAGAAGTCAACACTCAAGTCAACAGTCCATGTTGACTCAACTCGTCGAGTTCCTTCATTTTCTCAGAAATATTGTGAAAGTCCAACTCAACTCGTTGAGTTGTCTCATTAACTCGCTGAGTTACAACGTGTCCAGACTCATAGGGGAAAACTCTAACCGACTCATTGAGTCAGCTCGCCGACTCGTCAGGTCCCTTCAGACCATTTCCTCATTTCAGACGCTTTTATGTAACATCCGTCCCTCGAGGTATTATTTAATTATGTAAATTAATATTTGTTTTGTCTAATACTTGGACAGTGGGTTCATTTGAGTGGGCCTTAGAAATGGGCCAACAGTTGGGTTTCCCATAAGTTGTACGCCGGGCGTAACCTAGCGTACACGGAGCGTAGTAGCCATTAGATTCTAGGGACTCGGGTGCGTACGCCCAACGTGCGTGGGCAGATGCCAAACCCTAATTTTAGGCTTTAAGACCTATAAATACCCCATTATAGCCTCCTTACATGTCCCTCACCTTCAGGGAAACCCTAGTTCGTTTCATACTCCCTTCTTGTGTGTGTTTGACATTTTTGGGCTTATTTTAGTGAGGAAAGGCTTGGAAGAAGAAAGGAGAGGTTGGAGAAGAAGCACTTGAGTGTATTAAGCTCAAGGATTTGGAACAAGCTCATCATTTGACACCCAAAGGAGGTATAAAGCTCCTATCTTTCCTTCTAGAATCATAGATCTGGGGTTTTGAAGATTTGAACCTTTTTAGGTCCAAAGTTTGGATCTTGACCATGCAATTTCGTTTTTGAGCTTAGGGTTGCCACCCTTGAAGCTCGATGTGTTCCTTTAGCTGTAAAGTTGCAAGCTTTGAGGCTTTTATGAAGCCATGCAAGAGATCTAGCCATTTCCATGAAGGTTCATTGTCATTTTAAGTGGTGGGCTCATTTGGTGGATTGCAAGCCACCAAGTGATCAACTTTATGGGTTAGGACGAAGCATGGGACTCAGATTTGTAGTTTAGATGTAGTGTCTTAAAGGATTAAGCAGTTTTGGAGAAAAGAGCTTAACAAGAGAGTACGTTGGGCGTACACGCCATTACGCGCAACATACAAGTCATTTCAGCAGTACGCGCAGCGTACAGACAGGTATGCTCAACATACGCTCAGTTAGTGGGTTTTTGGTTATTGGGTTTTTTTTTGGGCCAAGTCTTGGACATAGCAATAGTGGGCCATGATGGGCCTTCAGAAGTCAGTTAAGGGCCCAGGGACTAGTTGGGCTTGAAAGGAAAGCCCAATTGAAGAGTTAGGCACAATTTAGAAAATTGTTCCATTTGGGGACTTAATGGGTCTTAGTAAGGACTAGAAGGATTGGGCTTAGGTCATGGCCCAAATTAGGTCAAAGGGGTAGAATAGTCATTTTACCCACAGAATAACCTTTAGTTTTTAACTAAGTGTTTATTTGGCCATGATAGTCGGGGAGTAGTTGAAGTAGCAGATAGTGTCACCTTTGCACGAGTTTTCAGCAGCCAAATTATGGGGTGAGTTTTTCCTCCAGCAGGAACGGATCTAAGGCACCAATGTCGACCCGTTTATGTAGTTGTAGTATGCTGAGAAATATTTATGTATGCTTTATGTCTTTGTGATTCATGCATGTTTATGTTATGTGTTATATGTTCTAGACTTTAGTCCGATGCCAGGTGGGGCCTAATGCAAGGGTGTGGCCCAAGTTATGTCGGGCCTTGGTCCAATACCAGGCGGGGCCCAGTATGTGTTTTATATGTTATTGTATGGTATATAGTAATTTGGGGGAGCTCACTAAGCTTCGTGCTTACATTTTTCAGTTTTGGTTTCAGGTGCTTCCACTAGCAAAGGGAAGGGCTCTGAATGATCGCATGACACACACCACAACTTTCAGCTTGGGATTGATTGAGACTCTGATATTTTTAGCATACGTTTTGGTATAGTATTGGATATGAGATTTTGAGATACATGACACTTGGTTTTCTTATGTTTATTGGTGATTATGGTTTTTATATTAATTTTCAAAACGAAATTTTTGGCTTGTATTTAGGATGTTTCAAGTTGGTATCAGAGCCTTGGTTTGAGGGATTCGGGCACACTTTCGGGTGTGTCGGGACTCAAAAGAAGGAAGTGGTATAAAATTTTCAAAAGAAAATCATTTTTTTCAAAAGAATTTTGGAAATAGAAAGAGATTTTGAAAAAAGAGAAAATGGTGTGGTGCATGCAATCAACCGAGCTCAAGTAAGTACTCCCAAATTACCCATACAAGTTTATGTTACGATATGTTTCCAACTTTATGAGAATAGCATGCTAGGTTAGGACTAAGGATCTAGGAAGGATGTCTTATGTGCCTTTTATATGTGTATCAGCTTTATGAATTGCATGATAGTACAGATTAGACAATATGATAGCCAGAGTAGTATATGCTTGATTATGTGTACTCAATGTACGAATGTTGCTTGCTTTGTGCTTTTAGGAGTTCTAGTTGTCTTTCACTAACTAGTAAACAAATATGCTAAGTTACATATTGCAAGGACTAAATAATTTCAGAAGGTAGGTCTAGCTCTATTTTGCAGCTCTCGTTTGAGTCTAACCGTCGTAGGGTAGGATCTCTCATTCGAAGAATTATCTAGTATGAGTAATATGTAATACTATTCGCGAGCTAGTTAAGGG